CTGCTTACCAAAGGGCTACAACTCTCCCTATACAGAGTTAAATGCACAGCTGAATCCCAACGGGGACTTGAATTGCTAGTATTCCCTGAAAAGGACATCCACCTTTTTCTGCACACTTCAAAAGTATTGGAGAGGATAGAACAAATGTCCCTCTTTAATCCCATGGTTCTAGCCTGGCTCCTGGGAAATATTCTTCCCGGTGCTCTATTTGTTAGGGCTTCCTCCAGTTTAGCATTATACGACATCAAGTGTGTCTCTGGACTGGACTTGAATTGCTAGTATTCCCTGAAAAGGACATCCACCTTTTTCTGCACACTTCAAAAGTATTGGAGAGGATAGAACAAATGTCCCTCTTTAATCCCATGGTTCTAGCCTGGCTCCTGGGAAATATTCTTCCCGGTGCTCTATTTGTTAGGGCTTCCTCCAGTTTAGCATTATACGACATCAAGTGTGTCTCTGGACTGTTAATTTGAAGATGTTAATAAAAGTCTGGAGTGGAGGTAATTTTCATGTAAAAAATCTCAGAATAAGAAGTCCCATGGCATCTTAGGGAACGTCCACAATAGGAAATAACTTCTAAAATAGCCATTTCAAAATAGCATGTCCACACTACAGAGAAGCTTCAAAATTAGTCTGAGGCAGGCTCCCGTAATGTGGATGTGCTTTATCAATTTAGAACCCCTGGAAGCACTGGAGAGTAATTAATTTGAATGACTCTGGGAAATGTTATTTTGAAACAGCAGCAGTGGAGTTTCCACACTACCACTTTTTTGAAATAAGCTTTATTCCTTGTGGAAAGCAGGAGTTATTTCAAAATAACCAGCCCCTTATTTCAAAATAATGGGCTTTGTAGTTCCATCAGATGGATGGGAGTGGAAATTTCAGAGGCAGGGGTGTATATATATATATGAAAGTACATCAAGAGAAAAGTCACTTACCAAATTTGTTATGCTTTCATATATATACACATCCCTGCCTCTGTAATTTCCACTCTCATTCATCTGATGAAGTGAGTTTTACACATGAAACCCATGACCCTAACAAATCTGTTGGTCTCTAAGGTGCCACAGGACTATTAGTTTCTATCTTCAAAAAACAACAAACACTGCTCCCCCTCTGAGACCACTATCTAACAGCATAACTGGTCTGTTGGATAGCAGAACAAGGTGAATGAATTGCTCACTTACTTTAAGTCCTCTAGGTCAATTTCAGCATTGTCACCAGATATGAGCCGCTGTAACTCAGGTGCAGAAAACATCCGAATCCATTCAAGCTTAATTATCGACCTGAAGCCACTAATGAGCGCAGCCGTCTGACTTTTTATCTGTGTGTGCATCCGAAAATGAGCCATGAGGTGGATGTAGCTGATTCTGTGCAAAGGAAGGAGGGGAAAATCAGAGGATACCCAGCACACTATCACTGGCATGGCACTTTTCTCATTTACAATGCACTGCTCAAAAAGAACACAGGGCCTTGATCCTGGGCTCACTGAAGTCTATGGAAAGATTATGTGGAGGGGAGGGGTCGACCTGATTGCTAGGGCATATTTCACCCCCATGGGTGAGCAGGAAAGCGATGACAGAGACTTCTTCCTACTCAGTTTTTGTACAGAACTCTCCAACAATTCTTTCAGCCAAATAAATGACACACAAAATCATTTCATCTGGATGGCTGTGCATATCCTGCCGAAAGAGGCTGTAAGATCTTATAGCAGCTGTTTTCCCCAGTCTGTAAGGGTCTGACAGCCCTTCTCAGCCCTGACACAGAACTTCCAAGAATGCTGAGCACTTACAATATGCACATGGTCAAAACACTGCCATATATCAGCTAGTTGCTGTTAATCAGCTCCTTAGAACTACTGGGTTTATTTGTTCATAAAAATAATTTTCCTTGAAGCACTGTATACTCCACAAGAAACTCAGAGAACTAAGTAAATCTCTTTGAAATAGATAAGCTCACGGAGGTTAGGTCCACCAATGGCTATTAGCCAAGATGAGAAGGAATGATGTTCCCAGCCTCTGTTTGTCAGGAGCTGGGAATGGGTGACAGGAGAGGGATCTCTTCATGATTACTTGGTTCCGTTCATTCCATGTAGGACACTGGGCATTGGCCACTGTTGAAAGACAGGATATGGGGCTAGATAGACCTCTGGCCTGACCCAGTGTGACCGTTCTTATGGTCTTATAGGACAAATATAGCCTGCTCTGAAGAGGTCTCATCTGAAATGGCATTAAAGGGATCCAGAGTTAGCAATATCTTGAAACAGAGTTTTCCAAGATGCAGCAGTTAAAGGGGGGGATCTATCTGAAGCACTGTCAGAATCCATCCAAAACAAACTGTTCTCTCATTGGAGATAGAAACACAGACTCTGCAGAGAACCATCCATCTAGCTATTTTACTGACATTCCCTCCCCTGCCTATGTTAGACACCAATCCTTTTAACCTGGCACTACGTTTGTAACCCAAGCTAACTCAAAGACTGTGACAAGAACCATTCTAGATTGCCTCCGTAATTACATGGTTTTTTTTCAGTTTCCTTTCCCCAGCTGCTACTGTGTGTTCTAAATTCTGTGCATTGTGAGCAGAGTGACACGCAGGATTTCCAACTTTCTTCTGGACAAGCAAAAGGGAACTCACTGATCTGACCGCAGAGGAAGATTAAGACTGTGGGCATGTAATTTTAAAGTGCAGCTGAGGCAGATGAGTCTCCAGGTTGAACACAGTCCTGACATGCTGTTCAAGAGCATGCTGCAGATTAAGAGTTTAGACACGCATCTGCATCACAGAGATTTAATCAGTGGTGGGGAATGGGGATTGTGGAACAAAGGAGGGGGGGCTTGGTTTTTAGGCTTTCACAACTGACATTTATGATAACTATCTAAAGCTGGTTATCTGTGAAAATAGCTCCAGGGCTCAGTGTCTCCTCTGGTTTCCTGTGTCTAAGCACCACTGTCTGCTGCATTTGAATTCATCACTGCGTCTTCTGAAGAACAGCATTTCATACAACTGCCACATGCTATCATTCCGAGAGAATCTGTCTGCTCCAAGGTGTCTTTCAGCAGCTGTGCCCTCTGTGCTCAAGACCGTGTGCCTGAATTGCTTTGAATCCATCTGTCTCTATCTATAACCATCACTAAATCCCTCTGAACATCGCAGACTGTGTGCCTTTGACCTCAGAAGTGCTGTTTCAAAAAGTAAATTGTCAATTCTTATTTTGCAAATCGAATTGAATCCAATTTCTGCCGATGAAGTGTAACCAGTAAATTCTATTAAGATATTTATGGGCACATTCTACTCCAATCCATCTCAATCTATTCCAGATACAAGCCCAAGGAACGAGAATGAAGTATTTTACAGTGGTGACCTTACAAATCTAATTACTTTACTTACTTATTTTCGTTGGTAACAGGAATGGTCTTCCCTCCAGGAATAAGTTCATGGCAAACAAGCTGAGGGAAGAAATTATTATATTGCTAATTACTGCCTGAACACTTCCCTGGACAAAGAAGCCTTTCAGAAACTGGGACTTAGTAATTAGAATTTTATGGTTCTCTTTTACAATAAAATGTTAGGATTTAAATGTTAAACAATAATCCCATTTCTTCTCCCAAACCAGTGTTTCATTTCAATACAAGCACAGAAATTGAACAGTAGGGAATTGCCCAATGGAGCCAGCTTGTCACTTTTTCTCCATTACCATATGCCATGAGTACTGCACACAAAGCACATGCAAAGAACCATAAGGGTGAAGAGCGAAACCATCAAAAGTAGGAATGTTAGCTATCAGGTAACTGAATAGTTGTGTAACCACATAAAATCTTATCAGTTACATGATTATGTGATAGTCTCCCAAGGTGGGGCTGGCAGCCAGTGCACTCTTGGCCCAACTACCAGGGAGCCTACTACCACCTTGAGCTCCTGCCTCTGTATCAGAGGCAACCGCCCAGACCGGCTGCCTGCTGCCCTGCACTGCTGTCTCTGATACAGAAGCAGCAGTTCAGGGTAGCAGCAGCCCCTGTCCCCAGGGCTCCGAGCTCCCTATGGACAGAGGCTGTTGGGGTGGGGAAAGGGCAGGAGAGGCTGTCGCTAAGCAGCCTCTGAACGTGGCAGCCCTGGGCTGTTGCTACACTTCAAAGGCAAAAGCACTGCATGGTAATGCCCTCACTGACCCCAGGCTTCATATAGCACTGCCACTATGAAGCACTGCGTGTTGCAGGAAGAAACCCCAGCTGGCCCTGGGCTGCACGCGGCATTTCAAAGCAGCAGCACCGGGTGGAGCCCAGGGTCTGGCCCCAGGCTCCGCACAGCACTGCTACTTTGAAGTATCCCCTTTTCCTTCCCCCCCTTGGTGCCTCTTTCTGCATTTGCTTATCAGATAGTTGACTAGTCCTTGATATCCCTCGTGACTACCACCATATCCTTGCCAAATTTCAACTTTTCACCGAAAAAAATTACTAAACAAAAAGTGTACAGAGGATAAAAGCATCTCTTTTTCCATTTGCTTGTTTCTTCAAAGTGTGTGGGAGGGGCATTCTGGATCACATTTTCCACGGTAATTCACTTCAAACTGGGAACAAGCTAGACATATTTCAGCCAGAAAAAGCAACAAATTTAGATGTAACTGAAAGCGATTCCTTTTGTTGTATCTGCATTGCAGATCTGAAATGGCCTATAAGAATCCAAACGTTGAAATATAACTGAATAAAGTGCACCTCATCTCCTTAATCAGCTATGCAAACAAAACGGGTTGATTCCAGGCAATCACAAACACCTCTTGTGAAAACACTGAGCATATTTCATTAAGAGGGCATACTGCTAACAAGTCAGATTGCAAGATTCTTTCCTGTGTCTTTGCACAAGACACTAGCAGGAAAATAAGAATATAGGTCCTCAGGAGTCAACCTGGCCTACACTGAGGAATGCTTGAACTCATATCCCTCTATCTGGAGCGCTAAAGGCTTGTCCACAGTAATGGACAGTGATGTGTGTGGATCACCAGAGCTGGTTCCCACAGAAAACTCTGTGTGGGAACATCAGACAGGCAGGCAGAACACACCAGGTGAATTGGAGTCACTCACTCAAGAGAGCTGCTAGAAATGTACAACAAAAGGCTTGAAATATCCTATCCCAGTCACCAGGAAAACAGGCTGCCAGGGCATAGACGCTTGCTTGTAGCTCTGAGCAGGTGTGAGGAAATGGATAGGAAAAAGAGAGAGGAGCAGAAAGGAGACTAAATTTGAAGGGGAAATGAGCACCAAGACATGCAAGGCCTACCTGACCCATTACGTCTTCATCATAGGAAAGTGTTAAGCCCAAGTCGCTGATATCTCCATCGTAGCGCTAATGGGAGGACAGATGGGATGAATGGGGTCAGTGCTCAACCACGGAGAATCACTCTCCCTGTAAGTGATCCTCCCAGATACCGTTTTTTACCTCGAGGCAGTCACCCCTCCTGTCTGCCTCAGGGTAGAATGTCAGCCTATGAGCAAAAAGTAGCACGTACAAATCCCTGGCTCCCAATTCTGCAGTTAGACCACTAGCACCCTTTCCCCTATCCCCCCCTTTCCCTGTAGCAAGAAATCCCACACACCCCACTGCCACCTACTGTTTGAACTGCTCTTACAAGCAGTGTTTCCCAATTTTATTTGGCCACAGAACCCTTTTCAGCTTAAAATAATTTCAAGGAACCCCCCCTAGGGTTCCCAGGGTAAAATTTGGCAAGCAAAAAAAAAAAAAAAAAAAAAAAAAAAAAAAGCCCTGCCAGAATTGGTTGAGCAAAAAAACCTGCAAAATACTCTGTCTCTTTAAGAGGAGGCAGGGCAATGCTGCATTCTCATGGAACCCTTACGTTTGCTTCTCGGAACCCTGGGGTTCCACAGAGCACCAATTGGAAAACACTGCTTACAAGCATAACTATGTTCCCAGATAACGAAGAGAACAGCTTTACAATTTACACAAGCAGCGGTGCACAGGAAGGGGGCATTTGCTAGAAATATTAAGATTGCTGCATCTAACAGCAGGTAGAGAAACACCTCTCCTCAATACAAGAGGAAAGAGGAATTTTAGTGTCTGAGGTCACTACTAATACCCAGCTCCTATACAATGTTGTTCAGTTGCAGATCTCAACTTACTTTACAAAAAAGTCACTCATCCCATTTACAGATGGGGGGAAATGGAGGCACAGACTGGACTACGGCTTGCCCAAGGTTGCAAAACAGGCAGCAGAACTGGGAGAAGAACACAACTCACCCACGGTCCAGTCAGGGCTATAGCCACTAGCCCATACTACCTCCTTTAAAAGGGCTTTTGGAATTAACCTGGCAGGCAAAAATTCACATCTGTCCCTGCTGGCATCCTCTTGTAGACCTCTGAGCAGCACCAGTTAAGGTGTGTCTAGACTACAGGGTTTTTTTTTGAAAAAAAGTGGCCTTTTTTCGAAAAACTTCCCCTGCATCTATACTGCTGCCGCGTTTTTGAAAGTAAATCGAAAGAAAGTGGCAGTTTTTTCGACCGCGGAAAACCTCGTTTTACAAGGAAGAACACCTTTTTTTGAAAGTGCTCTTTCGAAAAAAGGAGCTACATAATGCAAACTGTGCTTTTTCAAAAGTACTGATTGTAGTTTAGACTTTTGAAAAAGCCTCTTTCAAAAAAGGCTTGTAGTCTAGACGTAGCCTTACAGTGAAATGGGAAGGCAAGGAACATATTGCTCAGACCTTAATCGAGGTGAGGTTTTTGTAGAACTCTGAGTCCAGAGACGGAAGTTCATCCACTGAGCTGTAGAAGACACTGTGATGGTGCCCAAGCAGCTGACTCAAGAAGAAGGAAGCAAAGGGAACATCCACAACTATCCCCTGTAATTAGCCGGAGAGAGAAAGCGTGAGCATCCATTTTTATGAGCCATGTACAACATCACCAGCTGCCAGCCCTGTAAGATAAGTTGCAAGCTTCTGACTTGTACAGAGGCAAAAATACAGCTTGCTCACCGAAAACAGATCATATCCTCTCAAGAGCCCACCACTTTGCAGCCCCATCTCTAAAGAGTATCTTGAGATTCAGAAGCACTGTTTCATGGGGTGGATGAGGGAGGAGCTCATGTCTTGCCTTTCTATAAGCTCCTAGCACAGGAAGTTCTCAAAGCACATCTAATATATAAAGAAGAATGTTTGTATGTTTGTGCGCTAATAACTTGGACTCTAAGAGCTACTGCAACCAAACTTTCCATGGGATAACCTTTTCTCCAGGTGAAGGTTTTAAGGTACTTTTGGCCCGAGCTCAAGCTGTAAAAATAAAAAACTAACTAACCCGCTGCGCTGCAGGGGCCGGCTCACCTACCCTGGGTCCCGTGCCTGGCTCTTGCAGCCCCCCGTGCCGTCCGGGCCTCACCCCCCCCAGGGTAC